AGATAGTCAGCGCCCCCAGCAAGACGGTCTTTAAACTTCGTCTTGACCGCCACTTAGGTTTATCCACTCCTCCCTAATAAAAAGAAAAAAAGCATTTTGAATTATATAAGAGTTCGCAAGTCTTCNCTGTCCTGTGCAAACTGACTGACTGACTGACCACTTTTTGCGAAAGCCAACGAATGCAAGAGTAGCAAAGGTTGCAAAAAATCATGTGTCCGAGACATCCACGACAAAGGATAATAAATTTAGATACTTGATTAGTATGAATCGCAAATCGTCCTGCGACTGGTGAACCTAAGAGACTGTTTTGTTTTAGTGTCGACAATAAGGATTCACGGGCTCAAGCGTTCGCATATCAAAAATATTTTGTCAAGGCCGTTTCGTGTTCAATGGTCTCCTATGTTGTTCCTTGTTTAGTTCTCCCACTAAGTTCGTTGTGAAAAGTCTGTTGGAACTCTGTATTTATTTTGGAATATTTAATATACACGGATGATCAAATCCGAACAGGAGGTTGGAAGCAGGAATGGCTATGATTACCTGAAAGCAACCTTGTCCGGAGCATTAAAGTAAGCGACATTGTTGTAATTGTGATAAACTCATCATAGTCAAGAAGCACGGGCGAGAATAGACGCTTTGGTACAAGAAGTAGCAGCTCTGAAGGACATAGAGAAACTGTTGTTCTGTCTTTTGCTCCCCGTCGATGGATCCGGCGGCAACAACTCACTCGTTGGTTCAGTTCTTGGACTTACCTCCGAGGAGTCCGACCTTTCGGGTCATGGCATGGAACTCAGTGCAATGGGTGTTGGATTATTTTCTCCTGGAGGAGCTTCTGCCTTACACTTATCAAATCAGGTCGAACAAAGTCAAGCTTACACTTGGATTATGTCACACTTGGAGGAAGACCCGTCAACTTGTCTACGGAAGGATGAAGTTTACGAAGATTACAGGTTAGCGTCAGGTCGATGGTTCTATCCATTGCGTGCTTTGTTTTTGGCCCCGCTCTGCTAGGTGATCGGGTTTAACCTCCATCCCAAAGTTCTTTTATTGGTATTATTCTGTTACGTAGCATTGTCATCGGTGAAAGACGTACTCCACACAAGAAAAAACTGGAAATTATCTCGGAGATCCATTCTCTAATAACTTTTGGTGTTACATTTATATCGGTTTTTCATCTTTCGTATTACGTTGATAAGCAACAAACCCCATAGTCATGACTACCTTGGAAATCGGTACCCTAGGCCCAGGGCCACGGAGTGGCAACGTACATTTATCTAACAGGGTAGGCGTAATATTGAACCAAACGGCGTCAAAGTGGACCGACAGCAGCAGCGTTCTTGTCACTTATAAGTCCGGAATGCCCGAAAAAGTGCACGCAGTTAAACTGTACTTTATGTTCATCATAGACACCCACTTTCTTTCCTCCCTTTAAATAGGCTCAATCTGTGACCATGTGATCTATTCTCGCTTACCTTGTATGCGGCATGAGTATAACGGTGATTCCTTTTCGATGATCATGGCGATAACAGCAGTTTCAGTTTGAACAACCGTGCACGTTCATGCGTCAGTTTTGGTTGCCCATTTGGATGAATAATAGGAGACAGGAAAGTTGATGACGACATCAAAGCTGCCTACAATCGAATTAAGTCAACTGAGTCGATAAGGAGGCTCAGGTAGGACAGAGTTGCACACAGCTAGTAATAACAATCCTAAGCGAATGAATTATAGTCCGTTTAAATTAGGAAATTTTTTTCGTAAAATTGTGAGGCACCTGACCCTAACATTGATTTATTTTTAACGGAAATTTATTAGTGCAATGTGCTTGATTACGAAATCTCGGACAACTACTCTATGGATATGACGCAGTCTGTTTTTCAATTGCACCGTTGCGTTATAAAACGGGAGTAAATCACATGCTTGCAGTTCCGTTTATGTAATGACTAACCTTGCACTCCTGCAGAACGGTCTTCGCAGGCGTCTTTCGACTACGTTTGTGGTCTGCCGGCGAGGAAGTTGTAAGTGGAAGTTGGTGTTGAAATCACGTGGAACCACTTTACTTATGCTAACCTGCAATCTAAGCTATGTGACTGAGTGACGAATCTAATAACACCCAACTAGGATCTTATAATGGGCGTATGATAATTATGCTTTTTCGTGGTTGCCTCACTCACCTATCCTCCTGATCTGGTTAGGAATTTTCATTATAGTTGGCGGTAGATGAGAAAATATTGATCGTTTTAGTTTACTGTTACAACTGCAATGCTCGATAAGTTGCTAGGACTATGAGGACCCACCACCTCGGGTGACGGAGGTCGAGCGGTTTGAGTCGCTACCACCGGCGTGCTTAGGGCCCCAAGGTTCCAGGTCAAAACCCTGGCATTACTACCCAACTTTGGTAGATAGTTTGGCTTTCACCGGGCTCAGTATCACTCACATTTCGTGGTTTGCTGCTCCAGTTTCCGGGGCTTAGGTTGCCAGTTTTTATGAGTGAGTACTCGATCCTCGTGCCAATGGTTTTTGCCCCACCTGTTCATCAAGCTTGTATAATAAGGCTTTTTCGGTTTTTCAGTATCTTTTCACTAGTGCAATCTCAGCCGATGTTCTTTGCAATTAGGGATTGGATGTATCAATCGTTTCTCATACATACAGTCGGTTGCATTTCACCAGCCACACTTTACTCACCCTGTGCTTCTGGTCAACCATAAAATAAAAGAGCACCAGTAAATTTAAGACTGTTGATGGTGGTCAGGTAGTTAAAGTCATCATAACAGCGACCCAGAAATCTTGAGTTCGAATTTCGCTACCCTCCGTCCTCCTCATTTCGGTACTTACTTTCACTACTATATTCCGAACAATATAAGAAGTAATCCTCAGTTACGAGAATGTAGTGCTCGTTCATGACAACCGGTAAAGACCCCTGACACTGAGTGGTGATGTTGTGCCGGCCTACCGTGAAAGTTGGTTGGGGCTGGCGGGATTCTGACCTCAGACCCAAGGGCCCAAAGCACGCTAGGACCTGCGACTTGAACCATTTGACCACCACCCACCACGACACTCGTCGGTATATTTTGATTTCTCTTGAATGGATTTGGTACTCCTACCGATGTTTTTATTGTTAGCATATGTGTGATAACTACCTAATAATTGCTTTGACTAATCCCGAGGTCCGAAAATTCTGACACGATGGTAGCGGTGTCAAGTGACAAGCCCTCATCATCATCATCATCGTACAGCAAAATACCGTGATGCGAACTTCACTGACCGCTGCCAAACTCACAATGCATACAAGGTTAGTGATAAGATTTAAGGTGGACAGGGGTTGGATCTATTTTGAGGAAGGGAGAAGATGAGCCACTATGGTCAACACACAGAGTACGCAATCGAAATCTGTATACATACCGTTTCAAGTATCCTGACCTGATAAGAAACGACAACAAGAATGCCACTGCTGCCGGTTCGCTGCCATATCCTT